TAATCCAGCACTGTCAAAAAGAGATCACAGAAATAGGCCTATACGTATACATAAGAAAAAAAAGATTTATGCCAGACCAGGCCTTGTAGATCACTGGGGAAAGGATGGGTTATTTTATTGATGTTATTCTGTAATAATTGATTATCTATATGGAAAACAATAAAATTAGATTTTTTACCCTATACTACATAAAAAAATCAATAAATACTAATTGGATTAAAGTATAAAATCAACTTCAGAAGTATAAAACTTACACAAATCTGCATATTGACATGTATTGTTGTCATTTCAAATAGTATTCTTTTTCTGACCTGATTTCTAAACTCTTGACAGTGCTGGCTGCTGACGGTGATTGGTGTCTTTGTATCCTTAGGTATTCAACCACCTCGTTCATTTCAAAAAAAAGAAAGAAACTGTTAAGAGCCATTATGTTCAGATCATAATTCCACTTATGCAGTGTCCCTCTACGGACAATTGTCTCAGCCAGTTTTGAATTTTCAAAGAATTAGTTGTTTATCCCTGTAAAATTCCAGGTTATTGATAAGCACAACATGTGGTTAAGAATTTTGGAGTGGGAAGGATCTGGATTTGAATCCTGACTCTGATTCTTGCTACCTGTAAGGATCAATTGACTTAATATTCTAAGTCTCATTTCCTCTGTGTACAATGTGAGTATTGTAACAATTCCTACCTTGTAAGGCTTGGGATAAAATTAAGTCAGATAGCATAAAACAAACAAGCAAACAGCACAGTGTTTGATACATAATTAATACTTAACCCTTGTTGACTATCACCTTAACTTCTTTTAACATATCAGAAAAATCCCAGAAATTGTTGCGAGTACATTTTAAGGATAATATATGTAGGATGCTAAGAAGTTTCTTTGTGTATAGTAAGTACTGTACAAGTATTTGCTACTACTTTTGATTTACTATACTTAGGGAAGTAAATACAAAATATGACATTGAAGCTTAAAACATAATTATTCATGGAAAGGATAGCTGACTGTGACGTTACAGGATACAGATAAGAGATGGCGTGGAGGTGGTTGAAAATAGGTTTTATTTTATTGCAAACTCATTATGAGCCAACAGTATAATGTGGCTCAAACAAAGCTGGGATGAATAGAATTAGATTGATACAAAGTAAAGTGTTCAGAGCAGTGGAGATGCTAATTTTCCTCTCTGCTTCCCTGGCCACACCTTAGCTGATGTATCCTTTCCTCTTTGGGCCACCACACATTCAGCTGCTTCTTGGCAACTTAACGAATGCCTCTAAGAAGAAATCAAGATGCTAAGAGATCTTGAAAGCAGTCTGCACGGGGAAGGGCTCAGGATGACAGCCGAAGAGTCTCAACATGATGGAAGGAATATTTAAGGAAGAAATTTTGAGTTATTCTCAAATACATAAAGGCTTTCAGAAAAAAATCTAGTATTTTGAGCTATTGAAAAAATTAAATTATCCACCTTACAAGTCGTCTTCATCATTTGCTGCATAGAAACCAAGAAATATATTCACTTGTCAGGGAAATTAGAGAATATTTGTGGAAATGGTTGAAAAGTTAGATCACATAAATTTAAGATCTTTCCTATCTTTAATATGTGGAATTGGAAGGAACTTTTCTAAAATCAGTCCATTTAAAGGGAATGTCCAGTCTCCTACAACTTCCCCTTTAATGACCCCAGTGCTTGATGCCTGGAAATGGGAACATCTGAGTTTATACCATGTGTGTATTCTTAGGGGGGGGTGTGTAACTTGGCTGATGTATAATTTACATACTGGTTATAATTATAATACAAATACTGGTGGCCATTCGTCTCTTATTTAACTTGAATCTTTATGATCAATTTTCTTTCGGCAAATTTTGCTTCTTGGGTAATTAGCTGTTGTTCATTCAATAAATGATTGCTGAAAATATTATATGGCATAACCAGCAACTGATGAGTTAGGCAAGGCTTGTGCTCTGATGGAGAAAGTAGTCTAGCATGGGGGTCAAGTGTATAGGTGAACAATTATAAGATAGTACATTGTGTATTACTTCAAGACCATACAGGAGCTTCATTACATCAGAGAGCATATCCATTTTATACTCTCTAGAACCTAGTAGAGTTCCTGCTGTATATTAGGCCTTCAATAAATAGTTGTTGAATAAACTGATGAATTCTTAGTAGGCTCTGTTTAAGCTTTATTCAAAACAATAACTGGACCTTAATGAGTAACGTAATTTTTTTTGAACTGTAATTGATTTAACAATGCTGTGTTAGTTTCTGGTGTATAGCGTAGTGATTCAGTTACACACACACATATATATATATATACACTTAGGGAAGTATACATATATATATATATATATTCCTTTTCATGTTCTTTTTCATTGTAC